ATATACACATATAATATACATAAAATATACATATAATCTTTTATAATTTTAATAAAACAAATTAATATTATTAAGTTATTAAATTTTACAAAAATAATTGATCTTTTTTTTACTGTAGGGTAGAGATGGTTTCTCTGGACCTCCTGGACCTCCTGGACGAAAAGGTGATCGAGGTATTGATGGATTAGAGGGACTTTCTGGACGACCCGGCAAAAAAGGAGAACCCGGTCGAGATGGAACAATGGGTGTTCCAGGTTTACGAGGACCTCCTGGACCACCAGGAGTAAGTTTTTTTTTCATAAAATTAATAATGTATAATTAAAAATAACTCTTTTTATACATTATTCTTTGACGTAATATGCGAAACTATACTAGAGAAATATCATTTTAAAATTAAAATTTTATTGAATGTCGCATCGTAGGGTGGTAAAGGAAGACCTGGACCACCAGGTCCGAAAGGACCACGTGGTTTTCCAGGGCCTACTGGACCACGAGGAGCAGACGGTTTCCCAGGAGATCCAGGACCGAGAGGACCCATAGGTTTACAAGGAGGTCCCGGATCGAATGGAATTCCAGGTCCAGAAGGTTTGCCAGGAGAAAAGGGTGCAAAGGGTGAGCCTGGCTTAACCGGATTCCCCGGAGGTCCAGGACCACGTGGATTTGATGGACCACCCGGAGCAGTGGGACCTCGAGGACCGCCAGGAGACAAAGGATTTTCTATAATGGTAAAGTATACGATCAGATTTTGCAATTATTATATTGATTATTAAAAAAAGTAATTAAGTTATTATGTCTGGCGTAGGGACCGAAAGGAATGGATGGAACGCCTGGTTTAGATGGAGAGAAGGGTCAAAAAGGCGAACGAGGTTACGCGGGGGTACGTGGTCGACCAGGAGATTCTCTAGACGGTATTCCAGGAGCACCGGGTGCACCTGGTGAGCCAGGAGAAGCCGGAGCGCCAGGAAGAGATGGTGTACCAGGTCTTTCTGGAGCGTCTGGAGAGAAAGGAGATATCGGCGGTCGTTGTATAGATTGTATACCGGGATTGCGAGGCGCTAAAGGAGATCGTGGTTTCGATGGTACGCCCGGACTTACTGGTCCTCGAGGACCACCTGGAGAACGCGGTTTTCCTGGAGAAGCTGGAGTAGATGGCTTGCCAGGTACAATTGGACCTCCAGGACCACCGGTATGTTAATATCATTTATTAATTTGTTTTTCTATTTTTTATCTATTTATCTTAAACAATATTTATATTTCGAGTATGTCGATATAATTTTATATTTATATTTTTTTTATTCTTATAATAACATGCGCGTTAAAATTAAGAATTTTACAATTGCAATGTAATGTATTTTAATAAAAAAAATAATGAGAACAATAATTAATGTTAAAAGATTCCTTAATATTTAACAAATTAAAGACAAGAATATAAGAGGAGTCAGTGTGGTACTTCGTGGGCAAATACAATGGATATTTAAAAACCCATTTTTAATATAAAAGTGTATAATGTCCGTATAATGTTCATACGCGTTTCGACTTACTTCTAGTCATTCTCAACATAATAATTCTATCTTGTTGCAAGTAGTGCATCAATGATGCCACCACACGTCCAACATATCAAAGATATTCCTTAGATTCAACCCAGTTTATTATTGACCAGAAAGAAATAAGTAATTCTTAGAAGTGAAGCTATAATGAGAATAAGAATATCAAAGATATATATGTAAAATTATTCTAACAATCTATCTAACAAAAAAAAAACATATATTTATGATCTTTTTTGTTAACTTCATTGTCAGATAAATTTTCACACACACATACACATATATATATATATAAAATGATATAATATGCGATAACTATGATTCAGTTTTCTAGCTTATCCCTTTACTGTGTGGTACATTACTTAACTCGCTA